GCATGTCAAAAATGTTATAAATTGATTTGCATTTTAATGAGGGAAATAAGTATTTGACCCCTCTGCAAAACATCACTTAGTACTTGGTGGCAAAACCCTTGTTGACAATCACAGAGGTCAGACGTTTCTTGTAGTTGTCCACCAGGTTTGCACACATCTCAGGAGGGATTTTGTCCCACTCCTCTTTGCAGATCTTCTCCAAATCATTAAGGTATCAAGAATGACGTTTGGCAACTCGAACCTTCAGCTCCCTCCACAGATTTTCTATGGGATTAAGGTCTGGAGACTGGCTAGGCCACTCCAGGACCTGAATGTGTTTCTTCTTGAGCCACTCCTTTGTTGCCTTGGGCGTGTGTTTTGGGTCATTGTCATGCTGGAATACCCATCCACGACCCATTTTCAATGCCCTGGCTGAGGGAAGGAGGTTCTCACCCAAGATTTGACGGTACATGGCCCCGTCCATCGTCCCTTTGATACGGTGAAGTTTTCCTGTCCCCTTAGCAGAAAAACACCCCCAAAGCGTAATGTTTCCACCTCCATGTTTGACGGTGGGGATGGTGTTCTTGGGGTTATAGGCAGCATTCCTCCCCTCCAAGCACGGCGAGTTGAGTTGATGCCAAAGAGCTCCATTTTGATCTCATCTGACCACAACACTTTCACCCAGTTGTCCTCTGAATCATTCAGATGTTCATTGGCAAACTTCAGACGGGCATGTATATGTGCTTTCTTGAGCAGGGGGACCTTACTCTTTGGTTCTATTCGGTAAAGTCACGTAGGTAAAAAATAAAACAACAAAAATCACGACGTTTCGGCCACAACACAAGCGGTCTTCATCAGGTGAAGGGATCAGGCTGTCTCGAGGACAGCGCTGGAGTGAAACACAGCCACGCTCAGACTGCGGACCTTTAAGCTGTGTGCGAGGAAACAAGGTGCCTTGACAAAGGAATTAGCATAAAAATTAGCATTTGATTGGCCGACTTAGCATAGAGGTGGTGTACGTGCGGGTGGACTTGCCGTTTGGCGCCGGGGGGGAGGGGGAGTTTACCTATTGATGGTGTGAAAAGGGAATTTTTAAGAGCTGCGGGACCTTGTGGGCGCTGCAGGATATCAGTTCTTCACGGCATAGTGTGTTACCAATTGTTTTCTTGGTGACTATGGTCCCAGCTGCCTTGAGATCATTGACAAGATCCTCCCGTGTAGTTCTGGGCTGATTCCTCACCGTTCTCATGGTTATTGCAACTCCACGAGGTGAGATCTTGCATGGAGCCCCAGGCCGAGGGAGATGAACAGTTCTTTTGTGTTTCTTCCATTTGCGAATAATCGCACCAACTGTTGTCACCTTCTCACCAAGCTGCTTGGCAATGGTCTTGTAGCCCATTCCAGCCTTGTGTAGGTCTACAATCTTGTCCCTGACATCCTTGGAGAGCTCTTTGGTCTTGGCCATGGTGGAGAGTTTGGAATCTGATTGATTGCTTCTGTGGACAGGTGTCTTTTATACAGGTAACACGCTTTAAGAGTGTGTTCCTAATCTCAGCTCGTTACCTGTATAAAAGACACCTGGGGGCCAGAAATATTTTAGATTGAGAGGGGGTCAAATACTTATTTCCCTCATGAAAATGCAAATAAATTTATAACATTTTTGACATGCGTTTTTCTAGATTTTGTTGTTGTTGTTCTGTCTCTCACTGTTCAAATGAACATACCATTAAAAGTATAGACTGATTATTTCTTTATCAGTGGGCAAACATACAAAATCAGCAGGGGATCAAATACGTTTTTCCCTCACTGTAGGGGAAAGGTGATAGAGGGGGCACGTGAGGTCAGCCCGGGAACCCGCGAGGAGATTCTAGAAAGGGGGCGTAGCAGGGGCGAAGCGAGGCCACGCTGGGAGGATGAAAGGCGACTCCGAGCGAAGTTTCGGGGCTGTTGCCTGGAGTGGGATCCCGCCGTCGTTCTGTTGGAGTCTTCGTCACCGTCTGCGTCTTCACCATCTCGACGTCGTCAGTCAGGCAGTCCGCCAGCTGTCCTGACTGAGAGTTGTGGTTACCTCTTGTAACCTGTGAAGGCTATACCTACTATAGTTAATCACCCAGTAATGTCTGTCCTTAACGCTCATGACGTCACTCCACATAGACCAGCCTCCCTCATTAATATTTAAGAGTAGGTGACGTCCACCAAATGGATACCCCCCCACCCCTCCTCATTAATAATCATGAGCGGGTGACGTCACTCAATATGGAGCACTGCCCCTCCTCACTAATAATCATGTGCAGGTGACGTCACTCCACATCGAACAGCCCCCCTCATTAATAATCATGAACAGGTTACGTCCTCCACATGGACCCCCCCCCCCCTCATTAATAATCATTGTAAGCGATTTGAAGCTTTCGTGACTTCAGGAATTCATACTCTTTGGTTCTTTCGGTAAAGTCACTTAGAAAAAATAACTAGCTCTCCGATCTTACGTTTACTTGCAAATTCCATCCCTAGCCCCGCCCACTTACCCTTGGGTTGTACCCACCACAAACGAATATAACCTCTGGTTGCAGTAGCTCTCTGGCTACGTTTCCTCCTGCCTCAGCAGTCCGCCTGCTGTATCGTTTCACCTGAAGACGATGGCTTGTGTTGCTATCGAAACGTCGTGATCTATTAGTTATATTTATATCCACGTGACTTTACCGAAAGAACCAAAGAGTAATCATTATAAGGTGACGTCCTCCAAATGGACCCCCCCCCCTCCATTCATAATTATTAGCGGCTGACGTCACTCCACATGGGGGGGGCGAGGCGCCTCCTCCCCCCTCCTCGGCGTCAACTTACAACCCTCACTACAAAGGCAGAACCCTCAGGTCACGCGAACTCCGTAACGCTATTGAGACATCAAAGTAAAAGGGACGTCGTGATGAACAAGGGATTATAACGAGAATAGGTTTTCCCTTTTTTTCTGGCAACAGAATAGGTGTTAAGATGTTAAAACACCAAACTGAAACCTTTTACAATGAATCATGATGTCTGCATTAACCACAATACCAGTGGTCAGAATGCAAACAAAAAAATACACTGATAATATATGGCATTGTCTTTGAAACGGATTGGTTCACACCAGAGACAGCTTTCTTTCGAGCCTCATCTCAAATGGTGTTTGAGACTTGGTGTCCTCTGATCTAACACCGTTTGAGACGAGGCTCAAAAGAAAGCTGTCTCTCGTGTGGACCAATCAGTTTCAAAGACATTGCATATATTATCAGTGTTAGAAAAACAAAAATAGCATACGACGTTTCGATTGCAACACAAGCAATCATCATCATCTGCTGTTATGTGTTTCCTCTACCTGATGATGATTGCTTGTGTTGCAATCGAAACGTCGTATGCTATTATGTAAAAAAAATTCTTATTTCTACGTGACTTTACCGAAAAAACCGAAGAGTAATTCCTGCAGTCACGAAAGGGCCAAATCGAGTTTATTAGCAGAGTGTGTTTTTGGTTTTCATTCTGACCACAAGTATTGTGGTTAATGCAAACATGATTCCTGCTTTGTTGCCAGAAAAAAGGGGGAAAACCCATGATCATATTTTGGTATTGGAAAAGGAGGTCCCATGAAGGGATTATAACCTTTTAATGAAATAGGTCTGTGTCACCGCGCCCTTACAAATTGCACACGCATTGATGCAATGAAAATCACGTCGCGGTTTGCTTTTCGTTTGCAAGTTTCAGATTTACTGCAATACACCCGTCATTGGACGGGCAAAAGGCGAGTACTAAATAGATTGCCTCCTGCTCCTAGTGTCTCTTGAGTGCATGACTACAAATGTATGGCAGGCGTGTCCAGACCACATTTACCAAACATTAACAAATAGCTACGTGCCACATACACACAGAATCCCACCCAGTGTACAATACATATCGAGATTGTCTGATTATGTTTTAAACTTCACTCTTTGCGGTGTTATGCCATTATACATGTTACCTTGTTTACATTAAATTTTTATTTAAAGTTTTCGTGACTGCAGTAATTCATATTCTTAGGTCTTTCGGTAAAGTCACGTTTTTAATCTCGATGATGATCGTTTGTGTTATGGTCGAAACGTCGTGAGAATTTTTATTGTTTTATATATATTTTATTATTTTATTGTTTCCCTTCAACGTGACTTTACCGAAAGAGCTAAAAATATTTGTTTACATTACTTCACCGAAAATCTTAGGTTGTCGATTGACACACGTCTATATAAGCCAAAACACAACGCATGCCATCTATATACAAACATAAACAAATATATATATCAGTTTATGCAGTGAATAATTACATTCAGGGAACGAAAGGTTTCCAGTGAGCTGAAAGAAGAGAGATGCAGAATCGTAATCTTTATTTTCACTGCAGGAGCAATCTGATGAGCTGTGAAGCTCTTCTTCACAGACGGTCCAGTCGGGGAACGGGGTTTGGAACGTTACAAACAACAGTTACACAAAAAAAACACACACACACAATAGTATGCAAAGTAGAAGAAAGGTTGAACAAATCACCCAAACACATATACAGGTGGGATACAGGTAACACACACACGGAGACACATCGTTTGTTGTGGGGTAAATAAACCCATCATTCGTCTGTGTGTGTGTGATAACATCATAGCTGTATCTCTATCGTAGCGGGAATAATTCAACTACAAATCGCGGGCTCACACGTCAGTTGGAATCTGCCACGTGCGTTTTTAATCTCGATTTGAAGCTTTCGTGACTGCAGTAATCCATACCCGTGGTTCTTTCGGTAAAGTCATCACGTAGGTAGAAAAATAAAATAAATCACGACGTTTCGGGCGCAACACGAGCGTCCGCTTTTCCACCTGATGATGGACCCTTGTGTTGAGCCCGAAACGTCGTGATTTACTTTATTTTATACCTACGTGACTTTACCGAAAGAACCAAAGAAGATGAGTCCTTGCAGTCACGAAAGCTTTAAATCGAAACATTAAAACCCCCACGTGCGTCAAATCGCCGCGGTCCCCCCATCACCTCCCCTCTCCCCCGTCCGCCGAAGGCCCCGCCCCCTCCCCCAGGGACCGCAGGCGCTGGTTAAGTCCAAGCCAAACGGGTGTCGTTGGGCCGCCGCTATCACCTAGCCGAGTGAGTTGCCTTCAAAACGCCCTCTATAATCGCGGTAAGTCTCATTGTGTGTGTGTTTGTTTCACCGTGCAGGGGGTGGTGTTTAACGCCTCGCCGAAGTCGACCGTTCAATCGAATGCGGGAGAGTCAGGGGGGGGAGTGGGGTGAGCTTAATGCAGCCGTCGATTTTGGCTCGACTGGCAGTGGTGCTTGGCTTAGGCCTCAACGGGGGTTCGCGTGGCCCGTAAGTGGTTTTAAGTTGTCGCGTTTGAGGGGTTACATTTCTCGAGGTTTTTTTTTGTTTGTTTGTTAAAACCGCCGCTTTTTTACCATGCACGCAGCGCTGCGACAAGTCTCTGCGGAATTTTTCGCGCAGCTTTTCCCCGCGACGTGCTGTGGAGGGAGAGGGAGAGAGAGATGCGTTTACGAGGCGTGGTGGAAAGTTTCATTGACAACGTCGTATGCACCCTGTCCTCATAAAGTCGACTAAACGATTAAACTGTTTTTATTTTACCAGGTAAAAGCCCACTGAAATATAGATCTTTTTTTTTGTCAGAAGCGACCTGGTTATCACGAGTGATGGCTCAAAGGAAGTGGCTTATTATCACGTGGCAATTTAATGGTGAACAAATATTGATTTAAAGCTTTCGTGACTGCAGGGATCCATATTCTTGGTTCTTTCGGTAAAGTCACGTAGAAGGGAAACAATAAAATAATAAAAATATAAAGCAATAAAATTCTCACGACGTTTCGACTGCAACACAAGCAATCATCATCAGGTGTGAAAACCACAGCAAGAAAATTTTAAAAAAGTGTCGTTTAAAAAGTTTTTATTATTATTTTATTGTTACCCTTCTACGTGACTTTACCGAAAGAACCAATAATATGGTGAACAAATAGTCTAAATGCGTGATGTTGAATCTAAATGTGGAGGGGAAAAACCGGAGGACCCGGAGAAAAATCCACGCTATCACGGGGGAGTGGCAGAGACATGCAAATCCAAATATACAGCGGGCGTTAAGTGTCGGTATTGAACCTACGACCTCCTGTGTATACCAGGCGAGGGAGTTAACATCTAGCCACCGTGATGATAATGAGAGAGAGACACACAAACTCCAAATGTACAGCAGCAGGCGTCAGTAGTGTCGGTATTGATCCCACGACCTCCTGCATACCAGGCGAGGTAGTTAGCATCTCCTAGCCACCGTGATGATGATGAGAGAGAGACATGCAAACTTCAAATATACAGCGGGCGTAAGTGTCGGTATTGAACTCACGACCTTCTGTATACCAGGCGAGGGAGTTAACATCTCCTAGCCACCGTGATGATGAGAGAGACACACGCAAACTCCAAATATACAGCAGCAGGCGTCAGTGTCGGTATTGTTCCCACGACCTCCTGCATACCAGGCGAGGTAGTTAACATCTCCTAGCCACCGTAATGATGATGAGAGAGAGACACGCAAACTCCAAATATACAGCCGGCGTAAGTGTCGGTATTGAACCTACGACCTCCTGTAGACCAGGCGAGGTAGTTAACATCTCCTAGCCACCGTGACGCCCATCATCGCCGTAACATTGACGGTGGCTTTTCCAAAATAAAAATCGAAGTTACAATGTATAATGCAAGCAAAGTCGTGTATTTACAGCTACATCATACAATGAGGGCGTATTCGGTTTCACGTTGATACACATACCTCAAGTAGAGTATTAAACATAACACGAGGAGCATACAATGGGTTACTTCGTGCCCAGGGTTCACTTTCAGCAGGTGACTTCATTCATGAAGCCCGGGGCCACACGAAACTAATGAGCTGTAAACGGTGTTTATCCATCACTTCACATGCAAATCCAAATATACAGCAGGCGTAAGTGTCGGTATTGAACCTACGACCTCCTGTGTATACCAGGCGAGGGAGTTAACATCTCCTAGCCACCGTGATGATGATGAGAGAGACACGCAAACTCCAAATATACAGCAGCAGGCGTCAGTAGTGTCGGTATTGATCCCACGACCTCCTGCATACCAGGCGAGGTAGTTAGCATCTCCTAGCCACCGTGATGATGATGAGAGAGAGACATGCAAACTCCAAATATACAGCGGGCGTAAGTGTCGGTATTGAACTCATGACCTCCTGTATACCAGGCGAGGGAGTTAACATCTAGCCACCGTGATGATTATGAGAGAGACGCACGCAAACTCCAAATATACAGCAGCAGACGTCAGTGTCGGTATTGTTCCCACGACCTCCTGCATACCAGGCGAGGTAGTTAACATCTCTTAGCCACCGTAATGATGATGAGAGAGAGACACGCAAACTCCAAATATACAGCGGGCGTAAGTGTCGGTATTGAACCTACGACCTCCTGTATACCAGGCGAGGTAGTTAACATCTCCTAGCCACCGTGACGCCCATCATCGACGTAACATTGACGGTGGCTTTTAAAAAAAAATCGAAGTTTCAATGTATAATGCAAGCAAAGTCGTGTATTTACAGCTACATCATACAATGAGGGCGTATTCGGTTTCACGTTGATACACATACGTCAAGTAGAGTATTAAACATAACACGAGGAGCATACAATGGGTTACTTCGTGCCCAGGGTTCACTTTCAGCAGGTGACTTCATTCATAAAGCCCAGGGCCACACGAAACTAATGAGCTGTAAACGGTGTTTATCCATCACTTCACATGCAAATCAAAATATACAGTAAGTGTCGGTATTGAACCTACGACCTCCTGTGTATACCAGGCGAGGGAGTTAACATCGCCACCATCACGCCACCCAGGTCAGCAGAATATTGGCTGTACGAGCATATGCTGGCTTCTGGCACAGCGTTGGACATTGTACCACAGCACATGGTGATCTCTCACAGGGAAGTAAATGCAGACCTGTCAGCAACCCCTTATCAGTGCCTGCCTTATTATAATAGTAAGTCAAGGGTCGTATATACTGACCCAGTAGCATATCTTGCAAACTAGAAGCCATCAACAATTTTAAGCATCATTTTCATTCTCAGTGACCCAGAATTAGTCAAGTTGGACTACATTTATTTTGGAAACATGTTGGCTGTAGACCAGTGTTACAGACCAATTCAGACCTTATTGGTCACCCCGTGCCCTTCTAAATGTCAGCGTTCGTCATTTCCATCACAAGGGAGAAACACAAACATATAGACACATTTTCCCCCGTATTGAAACGGCTGTATTCATTACGGACCTGAAAACTCAATTTCCCTGTATAAGAATACGGGTAAACGGAATGGGTTGACTGGTATGTAAATGCAGGCGGTCCCCGCTTTTCCGACGCAGCGCGTTCCTGGGAAACCACCGCGGTAAATGGAATCGTCGCAAACCGGAGCCAGAATCAGAAATCCGAATATTTATTTCGCAGCTGTCCAGTAGTGGCGGGTAAGAACGTTACAACAACAAACAGTACGAATACACAATAGGAGTGCAAAGTACAAGAAAGGTCAACAAATCAACCAAACAAAACTAAACCACCCCCATCCTACCAGTCAAAGCCCACTGAGGTATTAACTTATTTTTCAGAAATGACCCTATTCTCCCATAGACAGAAACAGTAGAAACAATACTTAACCGATGTGTTTTTCCTTTTATCGGCCATGTTAACGGGGTTTAATAAGGTAAAATGTCAGAAGACGTGTCGTAAATCAAGTTTCTACGGCGTAAATCGATTCACGGTGGCATATAAACGTAGTAAATGCAGATTGTCGTCAATTGGACCGTGGTAAACCGGAGACCACCTGTACTGTCATCACGATTTATGTAATAATTCTGATTAATCTTGATTTGGAGTTGTCGCACCTAACAGGGCAATGCAACTCAGAGAGTTGGAGATAGCCAAACGGCAGGGAAGAATGGAAGCGCCACAGCAAGTTACGACTTTGCTTGGTTAATAACATCCTTCCAATGATTGCTAAGCTTATACCCATCTTCTCGGTTGAAATTGTCTCTCTGTTTTTATATCTGGATGGCTTCATGGACAAATCTTTGATGGTAGCCCGCAGGTTTGCAGAGTACCTTGGTCTCGAAAAAAACAATATCGTGCGAGCCCACTGCATTATAAGGATGATCAGCCACGGCAGAGGTATTGGTTCTGCCGTGTTTCAAATCTGCCTTGTGTTCGCGAACACGGTCCGAGACATGTCGTTTCGTTTCCCCAATGTAACTGCTGCCAATGGTTTGGCTGTGTGATGGGCTGTGTCTCACTGGCGCGACCACCGTTGCGGTGGATCTCTTGCGTGGATGCGCTTGCCTTTCACAGCGCAGTTGGCAGTGCCGCAGCTTGTGTTACACATAGACATGACATTAACCTGCTAATCCCCCTAATTTCTCTGCCTAATCTCTCCCATAAACATAGTGCTGATCTCTCATTAACACTGTTGTTGTGCGCATATGCGGGGTCGATATTCTGCTACTCTTATGCGGCGACGGAAGCTCACTTCATGCTAATCTCTCTCCCTAATCTCCCCCATTAACGCAACTGATGTGCTTGCGTGCGGGGATGGAATTCTTTTCAAGCTTGGACCCCGCTTGCTTGCCCTTCGCCACATGTATAACGTCTTTTTGTAACAGCTCTCTCGCTGCGTTTCTTCCTTGTTCAGCCTGAGGACGACCGCTTGTGTTGCGATCGAATCATCGTGATATATTATTTTATATTTTATTTTTTCTACCTACGTGACTTTACCGAAAGAACCAAAGAGTATTTTGATTAATGTACAGCCTTTTGTCAATGCATTTCTGTACGTAGGCTTCCCCACTCTTGTTATTCACAGGGGTTGTTTGACCATACTGTTGCCACATTCATTGGTGCGGGTCTGCTTAAGGGGTTGCCCAGCACTGAAAACAAGACGACTGATTTGAATATCACTCACCACTGAAGTTGGCTGTGGCCCGCAATTACAAACAGGTTTTTAATTTAAGCCGCTCTGAAATCTTGTGCTTGCCTTTGTATGCAAATACCTTTGTGTGTGTGTGTGTGCGCATGCGTGCACTTGCCCCAACAGTCTGTTAAGGCTATACGGTGGATTCTTTGTCTTTGCCCGCATCTCCAGCAATGACAGAGCCGGACGTCCTGACGGAGGTGCCGGCCTCGCTGAAGCGCCTCGCCAAGTTCATCGTGCGCGGCTTCTACGGATCGGAGTATGCGCTGGCGCTCGACGTGCTCATCCGCAACCCGTGCGTGCGCGAGGAGGACATCCAGGAGCTGCTCAAGTTTGACCGCAAGCAGTTGCGCTCCGTGCTCAACACGCTCAAGGCCGACAAGTTCATCAAGTGCCGCATGTGCATGGAGACGGCGCCCGATGGCAAGTCGACGCGCCACAACTACTACTTCATTAACTACCGCCTGCTCGTCAACGTCGTCAAGTACAAGCTTGACCACATGCGGCGGAAGCTCGAGACCGACGAGCGAGACTCCACCAACCGGGCCTCCTTCCGATGCCCCGACTGCAGCAAGACCTTCACCGACTTGGAGGCCAACCAGCTGTATGACCTCGCGAGTGGTACGTGTGCCATCACCATCCCCTCCACCTTGCGCTTTCGCCTTGTTTTCCCCTTATCCTCTACTATGGTGTCATTTGCCGACCCTGTCTGGACAAAAAACCCGGCGTCAGAACGCGGCGGCGTAGCTGTCGAGTGTGTGCAGGCCGTGCAACTATTTCGAACAAAATGTACACCAGTGGTTCTGAATCTGTGGGGGTGCACCCCCATGGTGGGAGGGGGGAGCGCAAAAGCCTCATTAGGGGGGGGGGCACAGGCTGCGGCATGGATACCGTGCAGGAGAAATGTTGAATGTGCACGGTGACATTAGTACCACGTTGCATTATGATGCTCGATTATTCGCAATGTATGAAGGTTTTCTGCGAATGTTTACGTTAGGCCAATCAAGTTAGGACATGAAGAACATTTCGAGCAAAAGAAAACAATTTGGAGAGCAGGAAGTTCGTGTATGATGACTTCCCACCAAGTGCTACTTATGTTTATGTTATCATTCCCAGGACAAACATTAGTTGAGCTGCCCTCCTGCGGGAGTTTGAACTCGCCACATTAAGGTTGTGAGTAAAGGCCTTTAACTATAGTACCATAAAGAGTTTCCAAAAAAACCTGTAAACATGTAACAAACTAATTATTGGTGCCATAATTGGTAATTGATGGTCTGTTTTTTCCCACTATCTGCATTGGTAGATGATTGGCCTGGTTCATTTCAGGCTTTCTTATAAACAGGGTTTATAACACAACACGTACAAATGCGATGGCTCCGTAACACCCACACGCCTGGCTTTTTGTGGTGCGTACGATTCTGTTGTGGCCTTATTGTGACAAAAAACCCCAAATATGAGTACAAGTGAGTTGTGTTGTCCTGGGCTCATGACGAGTATAAATTTCCCCAGAAGTAAATGCTGGCTTCTTGCCACTCACTGGACATTGGCACATGACACGTATAAACAAAAGCGATGTAACGGAAGTGTTCCTATTGTAAAGAAATACAACTAAAAGCACATGTATTTACTCTTTTTACAGTGCAGAGAATAGCAGAAAAAACATTGATGTGAACACATACTAAAAGTAAACAATTGAGTAACCATCAACCGGTTTTTCCCATTTTTTATGGCAACAAAACAGGTGTTAAGATAACACCAAACTGAAACCGCCTTCTGGTGTCCTCTGGTCTAACACTGTTTGAGACGAGGCTCAAAAGAAAGCTGTCTCTGGTGTGGACCAATCGGTTTCAAAGACAATGCATATATTATCAGTGTGTTTTTTGTTTGCATTTTGACCACAAGTATTGTGGTTAATGCAGACATGATTCCTTTTAAAAGGTTTGAGTTTGGTGTTTTAACATCTAAATACCTGTTTTGTTGCCAATTGAGTAACCCTTATAACTTGTTAATAACTGATTGAGATGGTCTGTGCCTTGTAAGACCGGCCAGGGGGGGGGGAAACATCTTTAAATGCAAGACAGTGTGTGAAACCCATGGTTACAAAAGGAAAATATTAGGAACTAGCCTTTTCCCCGTCCAAGGACGGGTGTATTTCAGTAAATCTGAAACTTGCAAGCGAAAAGCAGACCGCGACGTGATATTCATTGCATCAATTCGTGTGCAATTTATAAGGCCACGGTTACACAGACCTATTTAATTTAAAGGTTATAATCTCTTGTTCATCATGACGTCCATTTTGCTACTATGTCTCAATAGCATTAGAGAGATCACGTGACGTGAGGTTCTGCCTTTGTAGTGAAGGTTGTAATTTGACGCTGAGGAGGGGGGAGGAGGCGCCTCGCCCCCCCCATGTGGAGTGACGTCACCCGCTAATTAATATTAATGGAGAGGGGGGTGTCCATTTGGAAAACGTCACTTCTTCATGATTATTAATGTGGAGTGACGTCACCTGCTCATGGTTATTAATGAGGGGGCAGGGTCCATGTGGAGGACATCACCTGTTCATGAGTATTAATGAGGGGGGCTGGCCGACGTGGAGTGACGTCATGCGCGGGACACAGACATTCTTGGCTCATTATAGTAGTAAATGTTTAGAGGCAATAATGTATTTATTAAAATCAATTCTTGTGCTCGGTTTAAATGCTCCAATCGTTTTTGTAAAGAAGAATTATTCGTACTGGACATCTGCAAATTTGATATTTTTGCGAATACACCCAACGAGATAGACAATGCAAGTGTGGGGCACGTGTGTGGAGCACAAGTGTTGGTTACAAGTGTAGAGTAATAATGAATGAAGTACAAATATTCCATTCTCGACTCGAATTGTGACCGATTTCTTAACAATTCACCTCATCGCGAAGAGGTGAAAATCATTACCAACCTCGTATGAAGTAATTGCATTGGAAACCTTTAGCCATAAGTATACTTTACTTTAAAATGTGAGCGGTCGGTTATTAACTAATGAATGTGTTTATACCTATGGCGGGTATTTGTGCTGAACTGGGTTGGTAAACACATTGCGATTTTGTGCTTCGCAAATACTCGCTTTGAGCACTTGCTTTTGTCTAAAGACACAAGCACTGCAGTTCCTTGAAGAAAAGTGTAGGAAAAGGCACTGTAATCTAGTTTCTCAGTTGTGCTGATTTAAAAAAAAGCGTTGATATTGAGGGGCGCGGGCTCTGAAGAGGATTAACAATTTCGATTCAAAGCTTTCGTGACTGCAAGGATTCATATTCTTGGTTCTTTCGGTAAAGTCACGTAGAAGGGAAATAATAAAATAATAAAAATAAAACAATAAAATAGTGACCGAAAGAACCAAGAATATGAAGAGGATTAACAATGCTCTCCAGATCTTCTGACTGGAAGAAGCCAAGGCTTTGATTTCACAGGGTCCCATGAATAAATAATTTTAAACATAATTTACACTTCTAAAGCACCTTTCACCCAGATGTCGGAAGATGTAGAGAGCTAAAAACCGAAATAACATTTGAAGGAGAAAAAAAACCCAGTAAGAACCTAATAATAGCACAAAGGTGAGTGATAAGACCACCTTGTCAAATACAATTTAAAAATATTCTTTGGGTCTTTCGGTAAAGCTTTCAGTAAAGACCCAAAGAATCTGAATTCCTGCAGTCACGAAAGCTTTAAGTCGAGATACAATTTAAAAAAAAAACGAACTAAAAATGTTCGGGACGTGAAAAGGCTTTTAAGAATAGATGTATCCTAAGGTTGGGATTTGAATAAGCCGAGAGACTTGGGTGGATCGAATATATGGCGGGAGATAAATCCATAGCCTAAGGAGCTGCACGGGAAAAAGGATGGTCACCGATCGAAAGGAGAGTAGGGCTGTTTTATTAATTTAGTTCATATTATTATTTGTGGTCACGTCTTGTTGTGTTTCAAGTCAAACCTGCCGTAGTTTCACGATTTACAATTGTGTTGAAGCGCGATAAGTATTTGCGAGGATTATACGTAAAGTGTTGCGGCTCGTCAGGGCTTGTAAGGTAAATTTGATAGTGAAGTGTGACACATTTTGCACCCTGTTATCGACGTTTGTGGCTTTTGTTGCTGTGGGTGCTCTAAGGATATGGGTGGTATTCTATTCTTCTCGGCCCTAGGGGGAAGCTCTGATGTCATTTTCTCTGCTTGCTTTCATGTTATAAAAACACTTCAATAATATTCCCCACTCACCGTTAGCTCTTCCACGTCGGTGTCACGTGTGGTGTTTTATGTCTTTGTTTTATGGTCCTCTTAAAATGGCACCTCCCGCAAGTGTGAAAATCATACCGTAAGTTGCGCAAAAGTGAGTGCGTCACACTGGAATTTCGGCTCGTGTCACACATTGTTTCTGATCAATTATTTTCATCTGCATGTCTGTTCAGTTTTGCTATAGAAAACCATTGCAGATTTCCATTCCCAGTCACGCAAATAACATAAAGCAGACTTGTATTGTCGAGAGAACCAGCTATTCATCCGCTTTCATGTGCTATTAATTTTCTTCTTTGGCGTCATACGAACAATAATGTGTCCTGATTGATAGGCATGCTAGTCACAAGCTGTTGCCGAATAAAAAAATGTGTAATATTTACTGATACGTTTTTAGATACCCTGTGCATCCTTTAACGCATGGTTTCTGTGCATTTAACTGAAATTAATCACCTTACTTGCACGCTCTTAAATTAGGTTTGTTTTGCGTCCCGTGAAGGCAGGCTGCCACTAGGTTCATTCACCAACACTCATGGTGGGATTTTCAGAGGTGCCCCCTTTGAATATACCACAAAATTAAATCCAGATGTCTTCTGTAAAAATCTGCGAAGTTTCAAACGAGCAGTGGTGATTATTCTGTGTAATATGTAGTTTTATCACAACAACAACACGGATCAGGAATTGATGATGGGGATTTTTTTTGCATTTTCGCAATGACCGTGTGGTTTTTACACACTTTGGTGTGTTGTTTAATACATCTTGTGTTTTATAAACTTTGTTATTTCCTAAGCCTTAAATGAACCAGGCCAATTGGCCCAATTGGATATTGGTTGAAAATACAAACGTGCCCAATTACTATTTGTTCTACAAATAATAAGCCCAATGATATACCCAGTAATCTACTTGTACTTGTCAATTGCTAAACATGACCGGTAAAATGGAGAGGGCACTTATTACATAATTTAACACTAGTACGCATATTACATGTGAGTACACCTACGCATTATACATAGCAGCTTGTAGTATTTGCCCCACGAAGACAACAGAGTAGAGTTTGGATTTATATAGTGTCTAAATGCTCCACGTCGTACAGACTTGAGAAAGCATTGAGTGATGTGGCGAAACAAGTTACACGTCTTATTATATATTCCTTACACTAATTGGGTTCACACTGCCACATAATTAGGTGACTCAAGTGGTGTGCGGTGGTTGGAGTGTAGGGCTTGTGAGTTAAAATCCTGGATCAGGTTGGTAGGTTGACTCAGCTTTTCGAATCCACAACCTTGACTTAAAACACTGCCATTTTTTTCAGAAAGCCTACTGGTGGTCCTATGGAATAACTTGCCCCTGCAATA